TGCTGATATTGACAGCAAATGGATTCGGTTCATGTTGGAGTTGACGGATGCGCATTACTGACGAGTTCCGGTCGAAGGAAATGACCGTCTAGTGCTTATTCGGAAGCGCAGAAAGCTATCTGCTGTGAAAGATGTTGTGAAGAATCCTCAACCAATTAAATCAAAAAGCTCGTACTCAAAAACTAAGTAATCAGGTTGTTCAGAAGCTGCGCAAAACGATGGAAACCTGATGTCAAGTGTTACAAGTGGCCGATCCACTGTAGAATGTAAGACGAGCTTCATTGCACCGTGTTAAAGGTGTAAGTGCCGGCAGTGAGTCCGAAGCTGAGTGGCAAACCGACGTGTAAGATGTACTTAATAGGTAAGCAAAAGAATAGGTACTAAGTCAATGGATATTAAAACCGGTCTGGTCTGAAGTGGCGCGATATACGGAGATATGAAGAAGCAGACTGGAAGTCGTTGGGCATCGTGACTGTGCTTCATACGATGTACGGTCAGTGATGACATCAAACGGTAGAGATATTTACCAATGAAGGAGTTGTTTTTGGAGACATGATCATGTAAAATGGGCAAAGTTGCAGAGTCTGGGAAACAGGCAGGAAAGTGAAAAAGGTGCAGTGGGGATGGAATGATGGAGAGAGAAAAAGTTTCCTATAGAGCATAACACGCGACACAATGAAATCCCTGGAGAACTGGACAAATAACGTGGCGTGTCAAAATAGTCACATCAAGAGCAGAAAGTGTTCAAAGAGGAACCCTGAATGCTGTTTCAGACTCGTTGGCTTGGATTTAGGACCAATTCTGATGAATGTTTAACCGGTAAAAAGTGGACGCCGCTCAGCGTTTTTCCTGCCTGGAAACTACGAACAAGTCAGGTGGTGAAATGTGATGAATACAGTTGGTATATACTGGTCACAAAGACAATAATAATTAACAACAGTTGGCGAAAGCTGGGAGAGAAAACGAACTCAAACATATAGGCGAAAATGTGTAGGGAAGAAGCAAAGGAAAAGCTACAATCATCAGGTGGAAGAAGTAAAAGGTAAAGCGACAGACCGAATGCACGAGCACCACGAGTATTGGATTCTATGAGCCCCATCCAAAAGATATCAAGTCAACCAGGTGAGCAGCATCGAAAATGACGTACATAAATGACAACATTCGATAGCTGTTCGGAGAACACATGCTGGAATACCAGGACAAGCGACATTTAACAAGTAATCCGAAATGAAGTTAGAGAGCACGACGTCGAAGAATAGATTTCAAAGACAATCGATCTTCAGTGCCCACTTCAAGTATGCAACAGCAGTGAAGTTGATCCACACACACACTGGCAATGTGCGCGTTATTGTCTTCAGCCCTGAGTCCCTTCACCCCCATCAGTGTCAGGGTGATCAGCCTTTCGTAGTGATGCCAAGCTACCATACAAGCATGATCAACTAAGGAATCGGTTTATAAAAAGGCGAGAAGTAGGACCTAGGGCGAAACACCCTAAACAAACATGCAACGGCAAATAGAATACAATTTGTCAAAAACACATGGTATAACCAGCTGGCTACCGAGCGCGGATAACGGAGTAGCAGTGAGACAGCTTACTTGTGAGCTTCGCCGCCCGTTTCATAACTAATTTTACCAGACAAACGCACCAAGCGCTGAAGTGCGACGGGGCAAGTCTTAAGCTACGCAGGGCATGCATACACTCGTAATGTACACTATGTGCCGTCTCTGAATGGTATTAAGACACTAGGATAGTGTGCACAAAGCTTGTGTGTAATGCAGTAAGCTACTTTGGTGAGAAATATGGGCATCAGAGAAATCAAGTCAATGAAAATAGAGTCGTCTGAATCAATAGGTCGAGAATAGAGCGCATAGGTCATGATGATTCATTTAGACTCCACTGAAGTAGATGGTTCGTCAAAATGTTACTGAAAACAGAGCAATGCGGATTAACGGACAGCATCCTGACATTCATCGAAAGCGAGGTCGCGCAACTGCGATTTCACAGACTTTAAATATCAAGTCACAGTTGATACTACATTAATGACATCTCATAATCATAGTCGTGAACGATGGAACATGCATCGGAAGAATTTGAAATACTTCGCTCGAGTTTGATACAAGGTGTGAACGAACTTTCACCCGCATAATGGAGGCACTGCAACATTGTGGACGTATAGCGGAACGCAGAGAAGTACTCGTGCCGGCTGATCATGAGTTTATGTTGAAGCTATCATTGTATGAATGGATTGAGTTACGTAATGTCTATGTGGGTCGCGGTTCACACAAAAATGAACTTCGGTCAGTTCGCACCGCATCAGAGGCAGATTAACGTTCAAATTGTTTCTACTGAACCGATATCCAAACAGTTTTATCTAGAATGTCAAAAATACATGAAACATTCATAAACTTAAAGGGCAGTAACGGAAAAGGTCGATCCCTCTTGCCCGAAGAACATATCCGAGAGAACTGACAAGTTGTTCGGCCAACAAGGCTTCACTCAGGTGTATAAAACAACGTCAACTATGAGGACAAATCCGTCGAAACACGTTGGTAAATCGGAATACTACTACTAACTAAAACGTAGTGTGTATGATGTCATGTTACAAGTGCAGCAGTGATAATGTGGCTCAAACAGAAAGAAAGTTGTCTACATAGAGAGACCAGATGGAAGCATTACGCGCTTCCTTACAGAGTTCAGTGCAAAACGGATGAAAGGCATAACCTCGATGGGAACAAAAAGGAAATCGTGACACACGAAAATGTCTACTTATACACAGACCGATATCGATCCAGTGTGCAAAACACCCAGATGGATAGAATACAAGCAGCAGGAAAACCGAAGCGCTCAGCAGAAAAATGCAACAACAGGGCGACAAGTCGAAAAGCGAGCGTAAGCCCGGGTCATGGACCATGCACCTATTGTACCAATAGAACTTCGCCAAGCCATCTTAAGTCGTAACAGTAAACCTACGGCAAAGTGCAACGATTCAAGTCCACCGGAGATATAAATCAGAAAGGTCTACGGTCTAAATGTATAAAAGAATCAACATTCAAGAGCGTCATCTATCAACACACACGAATGTTGCTTCGTAAAACTGGTAGCTCGGGTTGATAATTCAGTTGCTCATTTGTTCGCCGAGCTGGGAAATTGCTTTGCAAACGTTTCATCGCCATGCGAGGCGGCATCATCAGTGCATCGAGCTGCGGAGTGTAATCTCGCTGATTGAACTGTCGATCAGTGATCGGCGTGCAGGTGAATTTTCGAGTGCCGGATTCGATCTGTGTCCCGTGATCTATACTCATTTCCCTGTGGCGGAAGTCGTCGCTCGGGTTGTTCCTATTCAAGCAGCGCCTTATAATTTCTCTAAGTTTTCTCCGTCGGAGGGATTGGTAAACTGGGTCAAGCTCCATATGCATGTTGATCGGGTCTTTTGTTGAGAACCACGCTTGCAGGAACTCCCTTGCTCTTCTTGTTTCACTTCGTGCCATGACTTCTGTTTTGGCCCAATCAAAGCTGTGTTCTTATGAGACGCCGCTTGAATAGGAACAACCCGAGTGACGACTTCCGCCACGAGAAAATGGGTAGAGATCACGGGACGCAGATCGAATCCGACACTCGAAAAGTCACCTGCACGCCGATCACGGATCGACAATTCAATCAGCTAGAGTACACTCCACACTTCGACGCACTGATGATGCCGCCTCGCATGGCGATGAAACGTTTGCAAGGAATTTCCCAGCTCGGCGAACAAATGAGCAAATGAATGTTGCTTCGTTTGATAATGAAACGTTTGTTCATAAACGGACAGGTTCGGGAAGCACATGAACATCTGACCCGTGCGTCAGAAATTGTTTATATCGGTCGAACGGGGTAGACTCCCGTTACAGCTGATTGTAGTGTCACATTGGTCGTGCGTACATTAATGGCACTGATTTAGCACCTGAACAGCCCAGAACTCCGTAGACAACGTATAACAGATTGGCGGTAACCACCGAACATTTGATTCTGCGCGATTCGCCCCAAAAGTTTACGGCATCTTGCAGGATGGCTGAAGAAATGAGACGAAGATGAACCTCTATTGGAGTCTAGATATTAGTGTCCAAGTGGCCTTGTTATTTAAGCAGCTACCTGTGTGAAGGAAGCGAGGAGTAGCAAGTCAAACATAGAAGAAAGGAGAAGCTTTTGTCAACATTCATCGTAACTGGTGCCGAGGCGACCCTAGCATATAAGTGATGCTATGACATCAATTGTCCAATTCTGCAGTGGGCTTATAAATCAGGAGTCAATGGATGGAGAAACCTACAGAAGTCTAACATGCAAAAATACGACCGTTACGCCTATTCGTTCACATCTGGTTGGAATACTGCGTGGGTGATGATCCGGTGAGTAAATGTAGACAAAAACCACAGAATCAGTGGAGAAATCAGATTTAAACGCAAAATATTAGGACAATCGGCGACCTGTGCGTGTTGGATGCAAGCACCGAGTCCAGGATAAAAAGTGCAAAATCCGCGACTGAATGCGACCTCATATAATGTCACGGCAGGTAAACGCAAGATAGAATTCAGCGTGATTTTCACAAGAACGGCGAGTAATCGCTACAGGGAAGGTGATAAACAACTTTTTGAACCAAAAGTAATAGCCAATAAGGCGCAAACTGTCTACACTTCAAAAGATGCATCGGCATGTCACATGAGCATTTGGTTCAGTGAACGGGTACCTGAGACAAGAGGTTCAAAGTGAACGCAAGCCTTAGTAAAAGTTGACCATGTGAAAGTGTGGCTGAGCACAATAGTGGGCCTACATTGTTTAGCAACACGGATCGTTAGAAATGATAAGCCCATAGAAATCAGTGTTCAAGTCATGTGGTAGGACACCAGCCTACGAAGCCAGCGTTGATAGCGTCAAAGTGTTCCTGTAAAGACTCGAACGCGAAAAAAGTGAAGCAACAAGCATAGGCAAAGAGGTACTGAAAAATGATGGCATCATGATAACGCACCTGTTGCTGGTATGCGAACAGATCTAAAGAATTCCTCCTGAGAATCGAGAAGTTTCAGTGACCCCGAGTTCAGAGTGGCCAAGTAACGCGCAGTCGTGGGGTGAAAGTGTTGCGAAGAGATGTTCATGTACTTTTGTCGCAGCAACAGACAGTTGATCAGTGCTTCGGCGGCCATGAGGAGTTCATCGGTCGGTACCTGCGTGATTGATCAAAGATAAATCATATGACGGTGATGACAAAGTTTGATGGAGTACAGTTTAATGTGAGAGACGGTTGGCAGACGAACGCGTTTAGTGACTTGCAGTTCTGTAGACATCCAGCTAAAGCAAACGCCGTGCAAGTAAACGAAAGTGAGTGTTACTTGCAAAGACGAGAGAGCAAATGAAAAAGGGAGAAACCAATCAGCTCAACAAGCGTTATAATCATGAACAAGTTATAGTATGTCACACAAGTTGCAAACGAGGTGGAGATAAAGAGTTAAAGTGTTATATCTCTGGTGGACAACCGAACCAGGAATCTGAATAGACGGTGATAGTGTTAGGATTGTAATAAATAGACGCTTTCAATTTCACGTGAATGACAGAATGAATAACTTCACATAGGATTATGAGCGCCACAGTATTTCGTGGTCAAGAGGTGCATTGTCAACATTTATTCACAAATCGCGCCAGTGAACTACGAAGTTGTGGAGTGGAAAAAAGCCCAAAAAAGGACACAGGATACTACTAACATGTCGTTAAACAGTAAAATCGGACTTAAGTAGAGAAACGACTACTTTAAGTGATTGTATCCAAATGTTATAGCCCATAAAAATATAGCGATAATGAATACTTGTAAGATGGCCGACTGGGTGTGTCAGACGTCTGGCTGTGCACAAGCCGCACAAAATATAGCAACCGTACTCAGCAAAAGATAGGGAAAACAGATGTCGCCAGAGTTAATAATCCCAACAGATCGAATGAAAGGATATTGCCAGTATGAATCTGAATGATATGTAGATTAAATCCTTAATGTGGCTTAATCCAAAGCACGCATCTGCCGCAGTAAAAAAAATTTCCACATATCTGGACGCTGTGGTATCGGTTCACTACACCCACTAAATGACGCTTTGATATATTCAATACATAATGTGACAGATGGTCGACGATTGTCAAGGAGACGGTAATGAAGCAATGTAGGAGATTCAACTTAGTAGGTGATTAAGCACGATACCAAAAGGATTGCCGTCAAACATCTGCATTTATCAATCGGAGTTCCCAGTAGATATCACTTATGTTAGTGAGGCCAGGGTTTACCAACACGAATAGTGTCCTAATGTCCTACAATGTGGAATGGCGATGCGTCCAACGATGCGAAAGATGGACCGCAGTATTGTACATGTGCACTTGATCGAAATAACGAGGTTCACTTCAATGCGAATCACAGTACAAATTGAGACCGAGTGTCTCAATCCATTCACCTAACGTGTACTTCAAAATGACCCACCAATAATAATGGAAAATGTTTCAGCAGATTTTGCACAAAAACCGCAAGGAAGATGAAGATTGAAAAATGGAACACTCCGTAGCTTAAGCAATATGCAAGTGGGGAAGAGCACTATATGCAAGTCACCCGTAATCCTAAGTTCTTGTGGTACACAAATATATTGCCGTGTTCTGCGGGATAGAGGGATACGAAAACATACATAGTAAGTTATTGCTTTCAAATGAATCGCGACACAGATAGATTGTGTCATAATCCATATACTTAAAGGGTGCTTCAGGATGATCCCTCCAAATCGGTCAATAACTGTCCTGACTTGCGTTGCTCTCTGTGACTCGCTGGTTTAGGGGTAGGTTTCGGCCAACATTGCAAAAGCCCTGGGTTCGAGTGCTTGCTATCTCTACCTGATGAGAGAAAAATGGTTTATCCAGCACACCATCCAAGAAGAAACTGCACCAGGAACAGATGAAATCACACGAATTGACGGAAAATTATTTGTTTAGGGAAACGTGCAGTGATGCTTCTCAAGAAGCTGATGATCTGCAGTTATCTGACCAACGCACTTCCTGCTGGGACGGAAATCGCCTACGAGGATCAGTGCGCAGCTGCAGTACGAAGTTTGGGAACAATTTGAAAACAATGATAATAGGTGAGTTTTATTGTCTCTCAATCTTCCGCTTAGACTGCACCTTCCACCACGATCTCCTGACCGATGTGTAATAAAAACTGAGGTAGAACATTAATTGTCATGGTTTCGCTTTTACCTCTTTCTTTATTATACAAATGTGCAATTGTATTGTACTGTGGTACAATGGCTGGGGAATTCCTCGCTTCCAGCTAACACGGATAATGATTGGAATAAGGCCAATGGTTCGATAGCCTCAGATTTCCGAGTTCTGGTCTATCTTATGAGAAACTATCGATGATAGCAAATCAGAAATCACATCCATAGCGCACAATACAAGACCAGTTTGTGGTAGTTCTGAGATGTTAAGCTTAACGCTTAGACAAATGGACTTGGTAAAGAATCAAGCGTTTGTTTTACTCAGATATTCTTTCATTCACTGAGGACTCCACGAATCCATGCATTGGATTAGTGGACACAGAAGTCCATTGGTCCCGGTAACACCAGTTTTTCAATCTCAACAGCCTATGCTATCCCCACTGATCCCCAAGACCCTCAGACAAGTAGCGTCACAGTGTTACGAATATCCTGATATTGACGAGCCATAGAAACTATTACTTGTGCACCAATCGAACAACTGAAGCAGCAGAACCGTATTAGCAGACTGACTGCATCACGTCAAGTAGGTAAACGAGAGCGAATGTCCTCTTAAGGTACGTCGGATGCGACACATCCCATTCGCCTTGTTTGTCAGTGACACTTGACGTTCGAGCTTGCATTGACAAATCCTACTTCGAAAACTGTGTGTTTGCGTCAATGGTGTGCAACCTCAAGGTTGGACATTTTACCGAGGGGGGTTAAAATCAAAGCAGATGCTCTAGTTGGAGCTAGTGGTTTTTTTAGTGAGCACCAGATGAACCGATGTAAATCGTGGACCACAGATATAACAGCTTTCACCAGTATACATGTAAAGGCAATCAAAACTAGTATTAAGATAACCAGTAAATGAGAAAGTGTAGAAGTATAATCACTAGAATTGGATAATCGCGAGTTAATCCCGTTAGGAAGCACTGTTGGGGAAAACCCCGCCGTTTCAAATGCACCGAGCAAACAACTAGTTTCCACTAGGCCTGTTAAAGAGCGCCAAATCTGTGATAGGTACTCGAAAAGGCGTCATAATGTCAACAGTATGTGTGCTTAGGAGGTGAGTAATGCCAAATGTCGCTTGTTGGCCAACCAGACTTGGAATGTGAGCAATACAAAAACCGACACAATAAGTTTTGTGTTGAAAGACGACTTAAGCGCGCTGTTAACCCATACTGTGAACTCATGAAAAGCCTCCCACTGCAGAACTCGTAAAAAGCTAGGATGAAAACAAGAAAAATAATTATCGATGTCAAAGCGCATAAGGGTTAAGGATGAGTACTAATGGTCAATTTGGCGGGAGAGTACATGAACCGCACACGTAACGAAGGAACCACAAATAAGTACAGAATGTGCCAACGCTTTCCCTCCAGAAAAACGGTGGATGACCGTGAAATTTTTGATGACCAACTGATCCTTCTCCTTCCCTTGTCATCTCGGACCGCGGACACAAGTTTGTCAAATTCGCACTTAGTCCTGATTCCTCTGATTATTTCTGGTTTGTGTCTATTGGTCTATCCTCTAGTTTGCAGATCCTCATAAGGTCATGCGTGGAAACCAACCACCGAGTGGACATTCAGTACCGAAGAACCAGCGGAATGAGTGTATTGGCGTTATTGCACCCTTAGTGTAAACCGCAGGATGATTCTTTCTAGTAACACATCTACCTTTATGATCTATGCTTGGTGAAAAAAATGAAAAATAAATCACTTTATTGCTTAGCAAATCTTGTGATGCGTGCCCACCACCACATGGGATACTTTCGACAACCGGTGCCTACACAGTTTCGCGCATATCTGGTGGGAACACCACGTGAGCGATGAACGTGTTCGACACCTTGTTAATGGCATAGGAAGAGGCGAAACACTCAGCTCCGTTATTTCACGAATCAGGATCCGATGGCTGGGCCATGTGTTGTGCATGCCAGCACACCGACTCCCGTGACATGAGTTGTTTGCGCGCCGGCGGTGTGGATGGAAGAGGAGGGGAGGCCAAGCGATGACTTGATCAAGAGGAATGAAGGCCCTCAGTTTGCAGTTGGTGTCGGTTGATGTCTCTCGACTGTCTGGCTGGGGTCCGAAAGACGATGAACACGTTTGGCTGGATATACTTGTTGACATGGCTAGGAGCCGACCTCAATGGTGCTGGTGTTGTGAGTTTCTTTGTCTCTCTCCATCCCGCTGAGCCTCCTCATTCAACCACGATCTAAATCCATAGGCATAATTTAATACTTCTTTCTGCGGCACAATAGCCGGTTGTTGGCTTTCCGAAACAATGTCCATCCCTTAGTGGTGACTCAGCTTGGGTACCGCTGTTGCATGTTCATTATTTTTATTTTCTTGTGTATTGCGGCACAACAGCTGAGATATTTCTCTCACCTAGCTAACAAGTATAATGATGATTATGACCAGAGTTTATCCGAAACTTGGATGTTGGCAATATTTCGACCAGGTGAAGAACAGCACCCAGGTGTGCCCAGTAGGTTGAATGCTTATCTATTTGTATTTGTCTTATTGGTCAATACTTATACCGTAATGCATATAGAGAAATTTGAGGACATCGTCTTCCATGGAAAGTGGAGCGCTTCTATTTTATAGCTTATACCTATGCACGTATCCGCCCAAAAAACAAACAGGTAAATGACCAAGGTTCAGCCTACATTTGAGAAAGGGTGATGTCCGGACCATGTGACGAGCACTACCTGGGTTTGTGCCCGGTGTGGCCCATACTTATCCAAGCACATGTTTTATCGTTCGACGTATGTATGTTTTTGATGCAGTTAGCTTGCAAATCATGACGGTCCGAAGCTGTCCCCCGTGGCCCAGTGGCATAAGTTGCTGACTGGTGGTGCAAGCCGCTGGTGGTCATGGGTTCGAATCCTGATAGATCCAATGGATGCGCACTACTGATGATGTCCAACAGGCTGAAATCGCAGTCTATTGCTT